TTCTAGTAAAATGCTACCAATAATGAACTGAGTGAAATAAGCCATCAGAATTCAAAGACTAAGACCTGTTAGTACCTGATCGGGGACTTGTGGGTAAGGATGGGTTTTGGATTCTAATCATTTTTAACAGCCATGGAATAGAGTGATATACGGCAACAAGAGTGTTTTACTAGAGTTTTAATGACTTCATGGTTTATAGAGCCTGTCATTAGCTGTGGCTTATGGGTGACTTGCTTGATACCTTTAGAATCATATTTGAGTTTTGAAATTGCACTTGACCTGGGTCTGATTGGTATTGCGTGTCTTCTTCCCCCTCTGATGATTCTTTGAATGTAGCCATTTTTTAATCCTGTAAATAAAACTATGACAAGCAGCATGACTTTCCGTCACACTGAAACATAACTTTGTTGTTGGTGTATTTGGTCTGTTTAGCGTTGCAGGTTCTTACCTTACGGTGAAGAGGGGGGTCTTCAGTCGCTATTGTATTTAATGAAAACGAGGTGATAAAGGCTGGGCACCTGCACATTGTCACTCAGCTAAGGTGTGTGCTGACTCCATTGGGTAGTCTGCTACTGCAGACATTAGGCTGCATTTAGGATGGATACATTGTCTATTATATGCATTTCAAATGGTATTTGAATAGCTAAATAGTGGTATTATAATGGTAAAATGGTTTCTAAATTAATTTAAAAAATGATTATTTGTTTCAGATTCTGAAAGGAGTTGTTTAAGGATTGAAGGTGCATGTGAGTGTGATGTGAATTCTGGCCTCTCCCCATTGTACAGTTTCCAGTCTGTGTATATGTTTGTTCTCTATGTTTCAAGCTGATGCATTTTTTTTACCTGTCAGTATATCTTGCACAAATTTGAAAAATGTGTTTAATTAGGGAAACCAACAAAGGGGAAATGGAATTTAACCTGCCAAGAAAAGTGAAGTGTTCTGTCACTCTTAGTGATACAGATTTGATTTATGTTGTCTGTGCTGCTTTGATCATTTTAGCATTCAGATTATGAATGAAGACCTGTTGCTTTTATGGTCTTTGACACCAAGTAAGAGTCTTGCCAGTATCTAGACTTCAATCACAGGGGCGTGGCACCATTTTCCCACAAGAAAATTAATTGAAGTATCATTCCACAATATACCCTGAACTTTTTTTTTTATTATTCATATCTGGGGCTTCATAGTGACATGGTTTTAAATTAGTGTCTTGATCGTCACACTATTGAGTGTTCACCGCTCTGAGGACAGGGGGCAAGCAATTCGTGAGCAATGCTCGTTTTGGCGCTAAAGAAATTATGCAGTATAATGATGAAGTCAAGTCGCAATTACACACAAGCTATTTCAGGAAGCATCACCAAACACCAGTTGTAAGAGGTTATTTTTAATGTGCATATTAATATAATTTACCCACCTGTGTGTGCATAGTGATGTGGTTACCATCGTGGACAGCAGGTGGTACTGTACAGTAGAATATTATCTTTGTCCTTGCATGGTGCCGAATTTCTCCCACAGCCCAAAAATATGTTAGGACCACTAGTGTCTCCGAATTGTCCCGACTTTGTGCATGTGTGTGCACGCAATATAAGCTGCAGGCCCCCTTGAGATCGATGTGTTTCTGAGTAATCCATAATGATGTGTAACATAATTGGATACACGTGTTATTATTATTATTTCTAATTTGGGCACACTCTCAGTTTGCCTCGAAATTGCACCAGTAACCGATATGTTTTTCAAAGCACTCCACGGTTTATTAAATGGTTTAAATGGGCATAGCACGGCAGCCTGAATCCGTGCTCAACACCTTGGTCGCGGTCCCGCGTTATCTGACTACTAGGGCGAGCAGCCGGAAGACGGTGAGGAAGAGCTACCCGCCGGCTGCCGCCTCCCGATCGGGGACAGTAAGTTATATAATGTATCGTATATAACAAATACTATCGACCGCGGTGTGTGGGTCATGGTCCGAGCTCTTCCTTTTCTTTATTTTATGGCTAAATACAGTCGCGGTGGATTATAAACTATAGCAGATAAGATCATGATGAAAAGCGAGCGAGGCCAGCTACATTTACGGCAAATGGAAATCGATACAAAAGAAAAGAACGGAAACATTTCTGGATACGTGTATCACTGCGGTGTGTAACAATAGTAAAGCGTGGACCGTGTGATCAATTTTTTATTGTTATTTTTATTTTCCGGGAATAGCCGGATACACCATGTGTTGCCTCCATGTGCTGTTACGGCGCCTGTTGTTCGGATCAGCGACCAGGGTGATGATTTAATTCAAAATAGTTAATAATAACCCGGTTTTTTAACTCTACAAAGTTGCTAATCAATGTTTGAGTGTGTAGTTTAACAAAAAGAGCCAGTGTGATACACGGACGAGCCGAAGAGAGAATGTGCTTATTTAATAGGCTACGAGGAAATAGCAGCGCTAGATCTCAGGGGCGGTTATTTTATAATGGTTTTCTTTATGGTGTTTTGTATCCGTAAAGTGTGTCATGTTAAACCGCAAATACTCTCTATCAGCTTACAAATGCCTGTCGGAAAAGTCTGCCGTGTCATTTTTCCATTTCGTTGAAAGCTTGTAGCCCAGTGCAGACAGTACAGCAGTGCAGATGCGCCTTCCGAGAAGTTGGCGAGTGTTATACATATTATAGACTAATAAACTTTAAAGTAACTGTTTGTTTTGAAAGTAGTTTACTTGTAACGTGTCGTTTTAATTTGATGTTGATATAGGTGCCTCCGTAGATTCCCCCCCCCCTGTATTTATGCTTGAAAAAAGCCATGTATCTGTGCGGGACTAGCGAAAGTTTCAACAATAAGATTCAATGCTATTATTTTTTACATTAGAGATGCGCGGATCAGCTAAAATGTCACCCGAATCCGCGGCTTTAAACAAATCATCCACCCGCCCGCACCTATAATTTTCTCTGATATAGATATCCGCACCCGCTTCTTTAACAGCAGATTCAGTGACTTTAGAGCTAATCTGCGCATCTCTGATAGTAAAATAATACGTATGTTGCTTTAAATGAACATTTATTCATAAAACAAATTTTGTCT